CCCCAAAACCCCAAAACCCCAAAACCCCAAAACCCCTGGAGCCTTTAAAAAGTAGAAGGATCAGTTATAAAATTAACTGATATCAAAATGGATAGATACGTAACTGGTAAGTACACTATTGAAGATTATACTTTCTGGTCTACTAATCAACCAGGATCATGTTCTTTCTTACTGTTTTTGGGTCTGAATGAAGTCTTGTAGTTTAAAGATAGGGTTCCATTGGGCATACATTTCAAATCGAGCTTTTACAACCTCTTTGGAATGATTTTCAACTAATAAATTTGTATAGAAACTTTAGCCACCTACATAATCGAAAGAGGTGAATATTCAATGTTTAAGAAGAAATTCAAACTTTCTATTACAAACGATGACCTTCTTTTCTTCAAAGATAAAGACTCCTCAGAGATACGAAGGAAAGTACCCATCAAGAATGTCTCTGGGCTTTCTAAATAAAAACAAGAAAAGCTCAAAGTCCCTCCTCGTACATATCAGAGGGGAAGGCGATGAATTCTTTTACACAAAGGATCGTGACGATATTATGGATTTGTTAAAGCGTCTCTATGCATACTTGATGAAGCAAAATCTCCCTGTTTTTGCCCCTGCCAAATCTAAATTAATCTATTATTGCACAACTCAAGAGGAAGGGGAGCAAGGACTCACTAGAATGCCTGACAAGCAGTATGCTCTTCCTGATGAGAAGATCCTAGAGGGCGATACAGAGCAGGAGCCTGATTCTCCCAGTATTGTAAGTCACTTTAACCGTACCTTTGAGTATTTTCTAAAGATTCATAGCCTGAAACTGATTTTGATGAGATACCCTCCAGACAGCCATCAAGACATGATCCTGGATATGCCAAGTACTACAACAATGAAGATTTCTTGAAGAAGCAGCAGGACGAACTCAAGGATGGCAAAGTAAAGAGGATTATGAAGGCTAGACTGGTCAAGAACTCCTACACCGAAGATGATACACGGGAGTATAAGTACAACACACATGCAATTAAGGCTCCTCATGTGACAAAGTTCAAGAAATGGTCATCTGAAGATGCGCCTCACTCTTTCGAATCAGAGAAGCTTCATGATGATGTGAGAACTTTTGAGGGAAGGAAGCGCAGACTTCATGTAGCTGAAGACACCCACAAAAGATCACCTTACAAAGAGAACTTAGTTGAGTACGAAGAAGAGAAAGTTGAAGTAATCTATGAAGAAATTGAAGACTCCGATGAAACTCCTAAATGTCGCACAGATGTCTCCTTAGACGATTTCCGTGTTAAAAAAGTCATCGACAAGGGCTCCTTTGGTGAAGTCTTTCTGACGGAATACCTCCCTGACGGGAAGAAATATGCAATGAAGAGGATCAAGAAATCCATTCTGACCGATAGAAGTTTAAAGGAAAGTACCGAAAATGAAAAAGAGATCCTGATGAATCTTACCCATCCCTTTTTGCTCACGATGTCTTACTTGATCGAGAATGAAAAGAGGTATTATTTCTTCTTAGAGTACATCTCTGGAGGAAATATGTATAAGAATATGTTCAAAGTGAAAAGATTCGAAGAAGAAGCAGTCAAGTTCTATGTCGCCCAACTCGCCTTAGGCCTTGCTTACTTACATGAAAACAACCTTGTCCACAGAGATCTTAAGCTTGAAAACATTCTTGTAGGGAAAGATGGGTACATCAAACTATGAGATTTTGGATTGGCAAAATTACTCAGCATAAGCCATGAGATAACCTATACTTTTTGAGGAACTACAGAATACCTTGCACCAGAGATAGTATCCAATGCTGGCCATAGCTACTCTGTTGATTGGTGGACACTTGGGATCATCTCCTATGAGCTATGCTGCGGTAGGACTCCTTTCTTTCACAAGAACCCTCATATGGTCACAAAGCTGATCAAGAGGGGGAAGTTGATATTCCCTGATCCAACCAGACACAAGATATACATGAGTGCAGATATGCAGGACTTCATCACCCAGCTCCTCTCTCGTGATCCTGAAAAGAGACTCGGCCACGGAGGCAGCAAGGAAGTTCTTAATCATCCATGGCTAGATAGTGTGAAGTGGGATAAATTGAAGCAAAAGAAGATAAGCCCTCCTTATTATCCTGAGTGCGATTAACTTAGTGAGGTAGTAATGAAACATCCTTTCATGAGAATTCGAATAAATATTGGAGTGCATACAATGTGGTTTAATCGTCATGGGGTTTTGGGGTTTTGGGGTTTTGGGGTTTTGGGG